TACAAGGTATTCGACTCTTGCATTCGACTTCATGGTGGACAAAGCTGAAAAGACTTTGTGTGCCTGCTTACATTTTGGTAAGCCATGCGTGATTTCGATCGGAAGAAAACAAATATGAACACGTAGGATGTGGGTGGTACGAAGATTTCGGTGGACGCAAAAAAAGTTGCCCAATCGGCCTTCTAGTTTCCCGTTCGTTGATGAACACGCATCATCGTTTTCAAATTGCTTTTGTGGGCCTGCAAATCAAAATTCACATTCTAAAGTTTGACCGGGCTTAAGGCGTCATGCGGCTTCCCTACAAGCAACTTTCGTGGCCCCGCTCTCGGTTCTTTGCCCTTGTGTCCGTGCGGGCTTATGCGGTGCCTGGTGCTGCAGTGCCCACCATCAGTGCCAGTGCTATTAGTGCGCGGCATGCGGTGCTCTTCTCTTGGCGATCTGGATGCCAATGAGGGGGACAGAGTGGAGGTGCTGGGAGAGGAAAAAGAGGAGGAGGTGGAAGGTGAGGGTGAAGAAGGGAATAACGGAGACGGAAATGACGATCGTTCCTGTCGGGTCGAGGGCATCGGTTTTTGAGCGCTGTTTGCTGGTCTCAAGTTACAGCTGTTGGTGCTGTGGCCACTGTTGCTACGCAGGCGCTGCATTCTCGCCTGGTGCGGTGAATGGGAGGCCGACACCGCGGCTTGGCAGGGCCTGCCCCATCCCAGCCCTCTGTTAGCCGACGAGGATGAGACAGCAGGGATGGAGGGTCGGGCTGCTGCTTGCTTCCGCGTATCTTCTGCGACAATGTTGCGGATCAAGAGGTGCAGGGGGACGAGTTCCCGGTCCTCTACCAGGTCGAACTCCAGGACGCAGAAGATGAAGTGCTTAAAGCAAGAATTGAGGTGACTCATAGCCCCCGCTTGTTCCACGTCCTGCGCGTGCATAAGGTAGATGTGTCCATAAACCCGAAACAAACGCGTGAAGATCTTGGCCACCGTCACCTTAAAAGTCCGAGGGAAGGCGATGTTTGTCGATGGCGGGAAAACCGCCGGATCATGCAGCTGCTTTTCCACCCATGACAACAGCAAATTCACGTAGTCCTTGGCAGATACCTTGGTGGGTTTCTTGTGGAGATCGCTGTCCGCCCATAGATATTCGAACTCCGGGCCCGCGTTCATGACCGAGCAGCTCTCTTTGGAAGGTGAGCACTTCGCGTGGATGACCCCGTACAACAGAGCGAGTTCATTGTACGCATCCACTGTATGCACAGCCAGCCATTCGTTCGGATCTTCGGTCGGAGGACAGGCTACAGCCGCACGCGTAATGCCTGTGGCGAGAGTGGCTTGGGAATAGCGGTGGAGGGATACCCGTTTGTTGCCCGTGTGTTCTTTTATCGGCTTAAAGGTGCCTTTCGCACCTGCCCCAGCACTGTAGGAGCTAAGTTGCGGTAAAAGACCTAAAAAGGATGGGAAAATAGACTGTAGCAAGCCACGAGATGACGTTGATGAGATGCTGCTGCTACTGCTCGTCCTGGTGCTCGTGCTGTGGTCGATACCGCAATCGCTTGCACTGCCGCTGCTTCTGTCGCTCAAATCCATTGACGTGCTGAAAGAATCGCTGGGAGAAGCCTTGGCTCCAGTCCTCACAGTTGGCCACATTTCCTACTGTTAGTCTGTTCTTGTAAAGGAAAAGTAGAGGCAGGGGAAGAGTCTCTAAGGATGGGAAGGAGCAGACACCATGGGCCACTAACGGTCGATATGAAACGGACGACTCCGACGCCAGAAGTGGCTGGCAGCCATGATTATAGGCTTATTTCGATCAACATGATGGCGTCTAATGAAATTTGCGCCGATTTGTGAGGAGGGTCTGGGTTTGAACGGAGATGAACGGTATCTTGACCGAGACAAGAGGAGGGTAAAACCGCTCCGCTTTCGCTTGTCTCCCGCTTTACAAGCCCTAGCTTTCCTTGTGCCACCACAAGGACATCCATAAAGAAGCGCTAAAACCAGCCCATGCGAGGGTTCAGCACCGTCTTCCAGTGATCCGATTTTCTACATCACAGTTACGTACTTTTGCATCGATGGAAGTATGCTGGCTTTATTATTGACAGCTATGTACCTGGACAGGGGAGGTGCAATGTTGCGGTGACGACGAAGCGGCGCGAGAGGAGATGCGTCTTTGTTGAGTTCCAATTTTTCTTCATTCATCCATATACTTCTCTACCACAGAGCTCTTATGAAGAATAATGGACCATTGCAGGAAGCTACTGCCGTGCTACTCGAATTTTTGGAGGTAGCAGTACACCAAGTCCTGTAAGTCTTGGCCCGAACGCTCTCAAACCTCTTCCCCTTACATCAAGCACTTCTTGTCCGCATTTTGCCTTCATCAAATTAAAATCACAATTCTTTTCTTCATTCCCGAGCCATCATTTATCAAACATCCCTGAACTGGTTTGTTTCTTTCCCTTTACCTCTCACCCACTCGTACCTCTTCTTGGCACAGGTACAACCGTGGGGTGTATCCCCCCGCAATCTTCGAACGCCGGAGGAAGTACGACGTACCTGTCTTTATGAGCCGACATCCCGACCTCAACCTTTACATACACGAGGTCCTCCATGCAGCGGGGGCCATGTTTATGGAAGGGTCCGTGGACAAGGTCATAGTGACTCTGTACGGTAGCAGGTAGGTCGCACGGCGACGAATGAAACGAACAGAATCCTTAAACGACAGGTTGGAAGGCATTGTATTGTGACGCACAACCGAGAGGGCATGCCTTCCTGACACTGGCTTCCAAGACATAGAGTTGTGCGAGCATCCCTGTTGATGCCAGGCCTCCTACCTCCCTCAACTCCCTCCCTCCGCCCCCATGCGGATGCCTCCATCGTCAAAGCCACTATTTTATCGTCCTTGCACGAGCCACCATTTGTCTTCCATGCCACAACTTTGGACTCACCTCGTACCCCTCCCCACGGGGCATGACGCCACAGGAGCGATCAGGAGGGACACGCGCCCTTGGAATCATTCGCTTTCGAGCTCGCCTCCTCTCCCACGCTTATCCGTGCCTTGGCTGTCGGGGGCTTGGACGACCCCTTTCCCGCCTTTCGGAAGCTGCTCGCCCGCCTTAGCGTTGCCGAGGTACGGGACGGGGTCTGCTCCCCCCCTCTCGTGATGACAACACATGCGTTCCCGAGTCGGCAGTGCCTAAACTGACTCATTTACACTCAAGCCCCCTTCGTCAAAGACTCGTGCCATACTCTTGGCTATGTTCCATCTGGAAAATGTCCTCGTTCATCCGTTTCCTCCTCCCATCTCTCCTGTCCTTCCTCCTTCCCTCCCTCATCCCCTCCCTCCCTTCCTCCCTCAGGAGGTTGCCGAGCTCCAGCCCCTCCCCTCTGATGTAACGTTCGCCCTCCTGCTTTCCACCCGGCCGCAGGTGCGACCTGACAAGGAAGGAAGGGAGGGCTGGAGGGAGGGAGGGGCAGATGTCGAGGTGCCAGAAGGGTGGGCGGCGGCGATCAGTTCAGGGGAATTCGCACCGGGAGGGCCGGAGGATTGCCTCGCCGCATGCTTGGAGGGAGGAAGGGGAACAGGGAGGGAGGGAGATATGGAGGGGGCAATAACATATCTGAATCTTGCGAGCTGGGGGGACCTCGGCGTGGGAGGGGGGGAAAGAGGGGCAGAAAGCAAAGTGTCGCCACACATGCGGGTGGTGGTCCGAAGCCGCGTAGGGAGAGCAACACCGCCCGTGCCGTCCCGCTTGAAGACGATTTAGAGTGGGGATGCGGCTGCGGGCATGTAAACAAACAATAACGAATGTCAAGTAGAAGAAACAGGGAAGTGCTGGAACCGGTCGGAGGGGCAATAGGGGAAGCGTGACGGAAGCTGCCGTTAACCCCTGGTTGCAAGACTCGTCCCTCTCTTCTTCCTCATCCACTAGCCACATGGTCCCGACCTTGAATCCTCCTCTTCCCCTCCTTGCTTTCCTCCCTGCGAACACGCGCCTGCCGGCACTTTGCCTGCGCGGCCGGAAGCCTCGGAGTCCCTGCGTGAGCTCGCAAACAGGCTGGTCCAGAGCGACAATGACCCATTCCTGTCTACCATGGGGCGACATCTCGCTCTCGGTTTTGCTTCTTTATTTGATCCTCAGCCCGGATCATACCCCCTTCTGCTCTACCAGTGCCCCGAACCTCATTCTGTCTCTACTCCAGTGCCACTCGATTGTCGCACGTCATTCGCGTCCATACCGTATCATTTCATCCATTTCCTTCCTTCAGCTTCAATTGCATCATGTCCCTCCCACACCTCCTGGCCCATTCTCCTTGCCCTTCCGCCCATCCTCCCTCCTCTTCCTCGGAGCAATCGTCCTCAATCGTGACCTCCCTTCCTCCTTCCCTCCCTCCCTCCCTCCTTCCCTCCTAGGCCTCGTCCATGTCCGCGAAGAAATAGGTGCCCGCTTGCTTCTGCTCCCGGTCCTTGACACTCTCCAGCTTGTTGATCCGTGGACGGTAATTAGAGGGGTCCCGGCGGAAGGTGATTTCCAACTGCTTCAGGAACTTGTTCATCCCCGTCAAGAGGCTCTGCGGGGAGTTAGCGGTCGCCTCCACGCCGGGATCGCCCTCGTAGACGATGACCCGGTCCGCCAGGTAGGTGGCCATGATGAAGTCGTGCTCGACCACGAAGGCAGTCTTCTTGCTGTGCATAATGAAGCGTTTGATCACCTTGCTGCAAGCAATGCGTTGTTCCGAATCCAGGTACGCGGACGGCTCGTCGATCAAATAGACATCTGCGGGCTTGCCCAGACACAGGACGATGGCCACGCGTTGGAGCTCACCGCCTGACAGATTCTGGTGGCAGGGGAGGGAGGAAGGGAGGGAAAGAGGGAGGGAGGG